CAATTTTTTTTTCACCATTGCATAAATTAAAAAGTCAAAATGTGCTTTTTACTGTTTTGTCTTGCTTTTCAAAAAAATAAAAAATCAATTACAAAACAACAATTTAAAAATATTTAACACTGAACTTTTTAACATTCTAGCAGACACTATACCAACAAATTGAACTTAAAATTAATAAGTTAGTAAAATAATAACATTTAGGCATGTTTTTTTTTTTTTACTGTACAATTAAAAGCAGCCTTGCTGAGAAGAGACTTCTTTTAAAACATTAGAAAATATTACAGATCCTAATTTGAACACTATGTGTGAATGTTATAATAAATGTATTAAAACAGAGCTGTTGTAATGATTATTATCATTATTATTGTCTTACTTTTTATTTTATTTTACAGAACAACAGTAAAATTACAATAACATTTATGAATGTTGATGGAGTTCTTGCTTTTTCTCAACTTTTATTTTGGCGGAAACGTGCAAGAAGACCTTAATGCTTCTATTTGTTGACAACAGAACAGACGCAGAGCGAAAAACAGAGGACGAGGTGTGTGTTTATCGATAGATTGTTATATCTGCATCTGTGAAGTCATTTGTCATGAATACAGTTTACAAAATGTAATGGGGGAGCATCGGTTTCCCATCTACTGTAAAGTTTTCACTCTGTTCACCCCTCATCACACAGTTTCCTCCAGTGAAAATGTAGCCCTTAACACATATGAACGCATACTTTATAAAATGTTGCTATTTTCCTTTGAAAATTTAACTTTCAATATAAAACATTCTACAGTGCATGTGTCATTAACTACCATACAGTCATGCACAGAAACGATTAAAGACCGTGACACTTTAGCATAGAAAGAGGTTTGTACTAGAAATGCAAACAGTAAAATTTTGTGTTTGTACAGTAAACGTGTGTGTGTGATCAGGAAGACTTGTTTGGCTTATTCATTACTAAAATGTTATACCCATATATGCAATACAGTGGAATACAGCAATAAGTTTAGTATACCACCCTACCCTATTAGTCAAACATTTTATTTTTTTATTTTTTTATAACCTCATTGGGGGCTTAACCCCCCTAAAATTTTAGAATCGCCCCTGGGCCTGAACCCAGAGTACTTCCCCAAAGATGCCAAACAAACTCAGGACAGCACCCAGGAAACTAGATTGACAAGCCTCCCAAAATAGCAGTGCGCAAGGCTGATGGTGCGGTGATCACTGGGAGGGAATTGGTCGCTGGATCGGGAGGGCTTTTACAGTTTTGGATGAGTTCAGTACTCAAAACATTTGGACAGGTAAGCCCTGCCAGCAGTTTAACTTAAATAGGGCTTAGCAGTTTCGACCAGGAGGGCTCTTGCAGCATCTGATGGGAGTTCAATCCTCACAGCATCAGATGGGAAAGTGCTGCCATCAGTTGAAAGAGGATAGCTATGTTGTTTGACTAAGAAAGCTCTCGCAGCATCTGACGGGAGTTCAATACTCACTGCATCATGCCTATTTCACACATACTCGGTCTGCAGTGCGTATGCGGTGCAGAAGCAGCACAGACTCATTGTGCTTTCATTGTGCAAAAAGCCACGTGTTGACTGTGAAACACAGTAGACTTTAATTGTATCAATTTATTATGAAATTACTACATTTCTGTGTCAATCCATGTTCATTTTGCAATAAAAAATGCACTGTCACTTTAACCCTCTGGTGTTTTGCTGTCTTTTTTTTTTTTTTTGCTACAGAATGATATGAAACTCGATGACTTTTATGGCAGTCACTATGTGACCACAAAAAATAAAAAAATTGCGGACTTGATTCGAAAAAGCTAAATGGTCATAAAAAAATTTGACACACTTGTGTTGTTCACGGTCAAATATTAGTGCCATTGGAAATGAATGGGAAATACACAAAAATACAGATAATATCAATATACAGTACAATCTACAAATCATTCACAATGCAGAAAAAAAGTGCACAGCAATGAAGGGGTGACACTAAAACATCAAGAGTGCAAACAGACACACACTCAAACATACACTCACAGACACACACATATCAACTTGTGTGACTAACACAAAGCATGCTTTTGCAAATACGTGAAACAAAATCAATATTTTAGCCACAATGCAGTAAAAACACAGAGACCAAGGAAGGGGTTACACTCTAAATCTTCAAGAGTACAAAACAGACACACACTCAAACACACATTCACAGACAAACACAATACTATTAAACACACACACGAATGAACTGGTGTGGCTGTTACAATATAGCAGAATTGAGCCAGAAGACTCAAATAAGAGGTTGAAATCAGATTGATTAACCTCTGATAAAGCATTCCTGTTCATATTTGTTACATTTTTGTTGAACTCTGATGTTATGTGTAATAAAATGTCTTTCTATGTGTTCAGGTTTGACTGTAGTAAAATTCATGCAAAAACTGACATTTCAAACAAAATAAATCTAAACCTTTACAAAAAGTTGTCTTTGAGAATGGCTAAATATAAATCAAAATCCACAACTTAAAAAAAGTATGTCTAAAAACAAATAGAGAATTTAGAAGCCTTTTATATAGAGCTCTATAGGAATCTAGTGGCTAAACCATGGAATTTCAGATGTTTTTATTTTTTTACTCCCACCAGATGTAACTAATCTACCTTCAAAATTTTGATTAAAATTTTTTTTTATATATATTTATTAATTTTCAAACATTACAGACATAACTTAAAATAACATTAAGTTATTTTGCAACCATAGCCCAAAACTTCTGAATCTCCCTACAATACCAGAAACAGTGAATATCTCCTTCCTCTGTTTTACATTTCAGGCACATTGGCAGTCATCCTTAAACTTGTGTCTCCGTGAAGGAGAGATATGTGCTCTGTGCAAAATTTTCAACTGCATTGCTTTTACTTTATTACATATGCTTAGGGTCCCTGCATTCTTCCATGCTTCCTCCCATTGATCGTCTGTGATTTGTATATCAAGTGTCCTTTCCCATGTCCTTTTCAGGGAGTCCGTATTTGAATAGCCACAATACAAACTTGTAGAACTGTTAATTTGTGAAAAAAGCTGTCTCTCCACAGCCGAAATGTCCTAGTTTGTGAGCAAAGTAGTGTCCTTTTTCACAAAGTCCCTTAATTGTAAATAACAAAAAAAAAATCCTATCGTGGAATATTATACTTGATGACTAATTGGTCAAATGACATTAAAACATCCCCATCAAATAAGTCATGCAGAGTGGTGAGACCTTTATGTGCCCAAACTCGAAAATTTGGGTCTACAGTCCCTGGCAGGACGTCGTAGTTATCACAAATAGGAGTAAAAGTTGAGGTGAGTCGGGGTCGACCCTCCAAACGTCTGCCATGCCTTGATAGCACAAATTGTGATAGGGTTACTACAAGCAACTTTTAAGGATTTAAACTTTTTAAGAAAAAGCACATTTACTAAAGGAAGTTTACTGAGTGAACTTTCAATATCAAACCACACTGTTCTGGACCCTCTATGTACCCAATCAGAGATGTAACGTAGGTGAACACAACTGATATCTCCGAATATCTGGAAGGTCGAGACCTCTGACTGAAGATGGGAGCATTAAAGTTGACATTTTAATACGTGCTTTTTTTTAGCCCATATAAAGGAACTAACCCAACCATTCAATTTCCTAATGGTTTTATATGTGAAATTTATTGGAATAATTTGAATGGGTTAAAGTAATCTCGGAAGAATATTCATCTTCAGAAGGGAGATCCGCCCAAGCCAAGAAATAGGAAGAACATTCCACCTTTCTAAAGCCTGTTTGGTCATCCTTTACTAGAGCAGGGAGAAGGCCTTCTAACCGTGTTGCTGGGATTTTAGAAAGAATCTTCAGATCTACATTCAGCAGAGAAATAGGTCGATATGACGAACAGTCCTCTGCTTGCTTACCTTTTTTTAAAATTAAGGATATATTTGCCTCTCTCAGGGACTGTGGTAACTGGCCTTTTAAGAATGAGCATATTTTGTAATGGGTCAACTAATACATTTTTACATTCTTTGTAAAATTCACTACTAAACCCATCTGGGCCAGGTGCTTTTCCAGATTATAAACTCTTTATGGCTTCTAGAACTTCCTTTTTAGATATAGGGGCATTGAGGAAGGAGGTCTGATCCTCTGATAAGGTGGGAAGATTGAGGGGGGGAAAGAAAAGCATCATGGACTGAGTTATATCCGTGTTGCTAGGATTTTAGAAAGAATCTTCAGATCTACATTCAGCAGAGAAATAGGTCGATATGATGAACAGTCCTCTGCTTGCTTACCTTTTTTTAAAATTAAGGATATATTTGCCTCTCTCAGGGACTGTGGTAAATGGCCTTTTAAGAATGAGTCATTGAGCATATTTAGTAATGGGTCAACTAATACATTTTTACATTCTTTGTAAAATTCACTACTAAACCCATCTGGGCCAGGTGCTTTTCCAGATTATAAACTCTTTATGGCTTCTAGAACTTCCTTTTTAGATATAGGGGCATTGAGGAAGGAGGTCTGATCCTCTGATAAGGTGGGAAGATTGAGGGGGGAAAAGAAAAGCTCCATGGACTGAGTTATATCCCCTTCTAATTCTGATTTATATAAATTCTCAAACCATTCTTTAAATGTATTATTAATAGATAAACTGTCTAAAAAGCATTTACCACTACTATCCACAATAGACAGAATAGATTGGGAGTCTGATTCTTTGTTAGGTATGCTAAATATTTCCCCACTTTATCCCCATGCTCATATATTTTCTGTTTAGCAAAACGAATTTTCACTTCTGCTTGTTTTGTTAAGAGAGAATCTAAAGCAGATCTAAGCGCAGAGATTTCCTTCATCTTACCAGGGGATGGTTTTTTTAATGTATAAGATCTCTTTTTGTTTGGCTTGTCTGCGCCTTTTACTTCTAAAGTACTTCTAGAGACAGGCCTCTAGAAAAAGCTTTGGCTGTTTCCCATAATAAAGATGGGTCTTCAGTTGTGGCAGAATTAATGGACATGAAAGAGTTAAATTCCTCTGTAAAATATGATATAAAATTATGGTCTGCCAAAATGAATGGGTGAAATCTCCAGCTACTAGACTTAGTATTTTGTTTCCCAAAGGAGTATTCGGAAAAAACTGCTGCATGGTCAGATATAGATATATTCCCTATATGGCAAGACATTATATGCTCCAACATACTTTTCAGAGAAAAAAAAAGATCTATCCTAGTATAGCAACTGTGGACCCTAGAAAAAAAGTATACTCTTGTTCTGCAGGATGGCAGGCCCTCCAAATATCTACATAGTCAAAGTCTTCACAAAGAGCCTTAACAGTTTTAGCCTGAGTTGATAATAATGGTTTACCTGTTGGGAATTTATCTATAATGGGACATAAATGACAGTTAAAATCTCCTCCAAATAAACAATGTTTTAACTCCCCAGTCTGCTAATTTGGCAAAAGCTGTAGTCAAAAAATCACTCTGAAGTTGTTACGGAAGAGGTTTGACACAACAGGTTAGTTTGATACAAAACGGTTTATTTGGTCACAGTGAGTACTGGTGTTGAGTCCGGAGGAAGTGAGGGTGAGGGAAAGGTCCGTGAGAGAGTGCAGAGGATATGGAGGGTGGAGTAATCTGAGTCTTTTGCTTGATTGAGGCTGGAAGGTATCCGGGGGAAGCACACACCTCAGCGATCCGGGAACTAGGAGATACAGGAGACACTTGGAGACGAGGAGACACTAGGAGGAACACAGGAGGTAAGTAATGCAAGAAGTATTCAAAGGTAATCAGTAGCAAAGTCATTGAGTCCTCTACGTTTATACGAGACTGGACAGTGAGGGTGTCTGAGGTGTGTGCTTTTATGCAGGCTGGTAATGAGGTGCTTGATTGGTGACAGGTGCGGGTGCTCAGAACTCAGGTGAGAGGGATTGTTGTTATGATTGGGAGGTGACTGAGTCTGGCCGAACTGTGACAGGACTCCCCCCTCCCGAAAGGCGCGTCCCGCGTCGTAACAATTCCACCGGGGAGGGGGGGTGGGCGCCCTGGAGGCTGGTACAGGGTGGAGACCCGGGAGGCCCGGGCGGAGCTGGGGACCCGGGAGGCCATGGTGGATCCTCCGTGGCCTTGGCTGGCTCGGCCACGGGCATATGTCCCCCCCGCCAAAAATTTTCTTGGGGAAATCTACGGGGCTGTACTCAGGGCCTGGAGCCCTCCCTGGGCTTAACGGGGACAGGAGCCCTCCCTGGGCTTAACCGGGGAACAGGAGCCCTCCCTGGGCTTAACCGGGGAACAGGAGCCCTCCCTGGGCTTAACCGGGGAACAGGAGCCCTCCCTGGGCTTAACCGGGGAACAGGAGCCCTCCCTGGGCTACACTCGGGGACAGGAGCCCTCCCTGGGCTACACTTGGGGACAGGAGTCCTCCCTGGGCTACACTCGGGGACAGGAGCCCTTCCTGGGCTTGACTGGGGATCAGGAGCCCTTCCTGGGCTGAACGAAACATCAGGAGCCCTTCCTGGGCTTGACTGGGGATCAGAAGCCCTTCCTGGGCTGAACGAAAAATCAGGAGCCCTTCCTGAGCTGAACTGGGGATCAGGAGCCCTTCCTGTGCTGAACTGGGGATCAGGAGCCCTTCCTGTGCTGAACTGGGGATCAGGAGCCCTTCCTGTGCTGAACTGGGGATCAGGAGCCCTTCCTGTGCTGAACTGGGGATCAGGAGCCCTTCCTGTGCTGAACTGGGGATCAGGAGCCCTTCCTGGGCTGAACGAAACATCAGGAGCCCTTCCTGGGCTTGACTCTGGAACAGGATAGCGCATCCGTGGTGCTGGCACTGGAGGGTGCTCTGGAGGAGCAGGCACAGCAAAGCGCCTTCGAGGAGCTGGGACTGGAGCGAGCTCTGGGGCTGGAGCCGGGACTGGAGCGAGCTCTGGGGCTGGAGCCGGCACTGGAGCGAGCTCTGGGGCTGGAGCCGGCACTGGAGCGAGCTCTGGGGCTGGAGCCGGCACTGGAGCGAGCTCTGGGGTTGCCACACTAACGTCCTCTCGGCTTGCCACACTACCTGCCGGCTGACTTGGGGAAGCCGCGGGCGACGGCAGACTGGTTCTGGCTCGGGACCGGACACTCCCCAGACACCGGAATATGCCTTCTCTGCCCTCCAAATATCTACATAGTCAAAGTCTTCACAAAGAGCCTTAACAGTTTTAGCCTGAGTTGATAATAATGGTTTACCTGTTGGGAATTTATCTATAATGGGAGATAAATGACAGTTAAAGTCTCCTCCAATAAACAATGTTTTAACTCCCCAGTCTGCTAATTTGGCAAAAGCTGTAGTCAAAAAATCACTCTGATGGCCAGGAGGCCAATAAATGTTCATAAAAGCAATTTCTTCCCCATATAATAACCCCTTCACAATTAAATAGCGCCCTCTTGTGTCCTTAATAACTTCTACTAATTGGAATGGCATACCTTTCTTAATTAAAATAACTACGCCTCTGCTCCTAGAAGTAAAAGATGAGAAAAAGACCTGACCAAACCCCCCCTGTGATAGCTTAGAATGTTCCTGATCATTTAAATGGGTCTCCTGAAGTAAAGCGATATGTACCCCCTCCTTTTTTAAATAAGTTAAAACCTTTCTTCTCTTAATAGGTGAATGAATACCATTAACGTTCCATGTACAAACTTTAAGATTTAACATTCTCAGTATATATTAGACATAATGCAATCCAGATGTATAATTTGAATGATGTAGATGTCAGCCAAACAAACAAGCGGTGAGCCAAGAAAAGGAACAGAAAATAACAAATTAACAAATACAAAGAACTTGAACAGGAATGATTAAACATCAACGAAGTTATACACTTTACCTCCCGTTGCACAACGAGAGCACCAGTGAAAAGGAGGTCCCCTAACGACAAAAGGAAACGAGGAAATATCCAACCAGAACGTCAAGCGGTAGTGCCGCCATTCATGACCGCATACGTTAATATACACGGACGTTAACGTCTCGCTGGACGAGTCGTTGATTTAAAGTGTAAACTATAAGATTTGAATTCAGCTTTAATCAGGTTGACTCAGAATTTTCAGATTCGAGTCCTTTTAAAACCTGAATGAATTAATAATAATTAATTCCTTTACAAATGAGTTAATTTCATTACACTCGTGTTAGTGCTAGCAACGTCAGCTCGCTCGTCGGCCTCATCGGAGCTGTTGGCAATCGGCGTTTTCTTGCGTGGCATGCTTTCTGATTGCCTCAAAAAGTAGTTATTTATACTCATAATGGAAAACGCCAGACATGAGCGTGCTAAAATTATAATATGCGGTTTGTAGTAGTAGGAAAATCAACAAAGGAACACTATCGCTTAACTACACAGCCTCCCTTCAAGCCGCCATCTTGAAAAAAAAAACTAAATTGGATTTTAAAGGCATTGTCTCTATTTTAACATGAAATACTGCCATAATTGAAAAGTAATAGAAAAATATTAGATTTTTTTTTTCAGTGGGAAAAATTATCATAATTATTGTGTAAATATTAAATGGCACCATGAAATTCTCTCAACATACAAATTAAAAAAGAAAAAATATTAATGGACAAAAATAATTGTTACATTTCAGATGTCCAAATTAACAATACCAGAGGGTTAATTCAGTGCGTGCAGCAAAAGAAAAATAGTATGGCGTTCGGACAGATTCTTTAATATGACGTTGCAACATGCACTCGTCTCACTGAACGTGACGTCTACGCAGACGTCACGTTCAGTGAGACGAGTGCATTTTGCAACGTCATATTAAAGACTGACACATTACTGTTCGTCTGCCTGAACGTGACGTCTGCGTCTGCCACATGTTCGACTGCCTGAACATGAGGTCTGTGTTTGCTGCAAGGGTTTTCAGCACATTCCATACACTTATTTTTGCTTTATTATACCTATTCATTCTCTATTATTGTTTTCACTTATCCTCAATTATGTTTAATTAGCAATTAAATGCTTTATACCTTTCTGTGTCTGTGGGAATGACTATGGTTGTATGAGAACAATAAATTCCGTATCGGGTGGGTAAAAGCTGCGCACCACTCCTGGACCGTCCCTTAAGTGGGGCTTGGCAGAGTTGGACGCAGTTAGTGCCGCACCTGAGAGGGATGAATGAATGTTATAAGCCCTATAATAAAGGGACAAAGACTGAATGAATGAGCCCTGTGAATAAGGGACGAGAAGGAGTGAATGTTTAGAAAAATTGTTTCAATAAAGACTGGGTCAAGATTTTGGCATTGTAGACTTGAATGCATATATTGTGTGATGTAAATAGGGAGAATATTTAGGAGACAAATGCAGTTTAGAAAGTGGAATATAATAGAGGTATATGCCCCATGTTAAATAATTAAATTGCTGATAAAATAATTTTTATAACAGGAAACAACGAATATATACATAAAGGTCATTGGTTGGCACTTTTGGATGCGGAGTGTTAAAAAAGAAGAAAAAATTATAATAATAATTTAAAAAATAGGATTTAGATAAATTCATTTTATAATATATTGAAAATGTGCACACGCATGTGATATATAAATACTAGGCTTAAAAGTGCATGGTACAGAAGAAAATAGGAGAAAGTGGTTAAAAGAAGTAAAATTAAGTTGGGGAGAAAATATACTAAGTTAAATCATTGTATAAAAGTATATATTGAGCTTTAAATATAGGATTGTCATATTATTGGAAAAATTATGGCAGCCACTCCAGTGGAAAAATTAGGAGTAAAATATCAATTGTGTAAAGAACTGATAGACAAGCTCTCAAACAAATGGCAACAGAGAACTAAAAAAATGATGACAAAATGGCCAAAGGAAGGGACATTTGATGTAGCATTGTGCAACGAAATGGAAACTTTGATAAAAAAATCATAAAACTAAAGGTAATAGTAAAAAGAGAAAAGAGAGAAGCAAAAAGAGAAAAAGAGAAAGAAGTGTTATCTTTGTTCAAAAAGGAAGGAGAAGACTCAATGAAAAATATAAAACAGGCAAGAAAAATACTAAAAGAGGCAGACAAAGAGACAAAGAAAAAAGAAGAGTTGTTCTCTAAACCACCCCCATATCTGCCCACAGAGGGACAGTTCCCAATACTTAAGGGTACTGTAGAAGTGTCTGGAGAAATGCAAATGGAAGGACAAGTAGAATTGGAAGAAAAGCAAAAAGAACCAGATGTAAGACCAAAGAGGCGGCAGAATAAAAAAAGTGAGGGATATTTACCTTTAGATTGTTATAAACAGGCACGCATAGCATTAGAAATGATGAAAGCAAGCTATGAAGGAAAAACAGGAAATGAGGAAACGTTAGTGCAGATGAGGAGAGAAGATAATAAGATTGAAACACAGGCAGGGGCTATGGAAGCAGAAATAGGAAGGAAAATTAAAGAAACAGAAAAATTAATACAAAATGCAGATAAACTGGTGAGAGATAGAAGTAAACTATTAGAAAGCAAAGACGAAGTGAGTGAAGGGAAGGAATCATCATTTGATAAAGGAACATGGGGACAGGGAAGAGAAAAGGGAAGACTTAGACCACTGGCTGCACAATTCCCAATTTTAATTAAGGGTACACAGGGACAGTATGTCCCCTGGGCCTCACATGACCTTGAGGGGCTGGTCACTCGCCTCCCAGACATCCATGAGGGGGCTGGGAAGTGGATTAAGGTGTTTGAAGAAGAAACTATGGGCAAACTTTTAGCTGTGGGGGACATTAAAGCACTGCTGGCAAAGACTATAGGAGGGGCAAAAATGGAAGAAATTCTTCAAGCATCCAATCTGGACAGAGCTGTGGACTCTCACTACATGGATGGAACTGTTTTTGATGCATTCCGTCCAGCAGTGTGGCAGGCACTGCGTGCTGAGTACCTGATCAGACTAGACCCTAAATCATTAAAGGGAGAACAGCTGGGGGAATCAGAAAATCCAACTACATATGTCCAGAGACAGCTGAAAAGATGGAAGCAAGA